ATGCAGCAACACTGTCTCTTTGTACACGACTGCGCCATGGTACTAACCTCCGCTAAGAATTACGAATCTTATATTCGCATCTTTGCAACAGCGGCCCGGACGATTGGGGACGAAGTTGCGTGTAGAAGCACGGAAGATGAGAGTCTTAAGGTAAAGGTAGTACTTAATAAGGAGATAATTGCCTAACACCGACTCAAGGATGACTACGAGATCTCCGCTTCATACACTGCTGGTAAGACGCCTTTTCTCTATACTTTCGTTAGGAGCTTGCCTTCATATTGATTTCTAACTCTCTAACTCTAACTCTAAGTTAAAAGAGAAGACGTCTCAATTTTTGAGCTTCCTTGCAGTTGATTTCTTTTTCTCATTCCGTGTTTCTAATCATGCAAGGAGAAGCGAGACCATGATCTACTACTTGAAGGAGTCCGCTCCTCCCTTGGATAGGGACCTCGACGTCGAGGGAACTGCTATCGAGTCTCCAAACACGGCCCTCCAAGCGCTTCGAACGTACGTGGATCTCATGGACCAGATAGTAAGGACTGAACTTGCTTGTCAGCGGCTTGGTAGTGGGTGAAAACTGATAACGACGGAACTTCCTACTTATTCTTGTCAGCGGCTTGGTGGTGGGTGAAACTCGTCAACCGCTTGCTACCATGGCGGTAGGTGGCGCTTGGTGGTAGGCGGCTGTCGCTATATGCAGTATATAATAGAAACGTCGTACCACGCATGTCACGAATCGGTCTTTGGGAATTCTTCATAAGGCCGTGAGAATTCTTCTTTATGATTTTCAAGAAACAGGGATCTTTCCTATTAAAGGCGCTTTTAGACCTCATGATAAATCTAATACTCGTTTACTTGTTGTAATAAACCCTGTCTTCTATATTGTAATTTCAAAAAAGTGCCATTGTATTGTCAATTGAGAAATGTCACGAGCAAGGATGTCGATGTGTGTCTATTCTCCCGTTGATACTCTGCATATTCTGAATATGAAAGGGCTTTCGCAAGTTGTTTTTATAAAGAAGAAAGGAGTTCGATTTTTGATGATGAAGTACCCACCCCGCGAAAGGATCCGCGAACGCCTAAACCCCTACTACTAAGTGTTTTCTCCCATTTCTAGAGAGGACAACGATCGCAAGGATCACTCCCCATCTTCTTGTCCTTGTAACAGAGACTCTTTTGAATAAATCGTGAATCGTGGGACGACACCGACAGCATCGGTTTCATTAACTTCTTCTCTTGATGGTCTGATGCATTGGTTTCATCTGATTGATCGGCTTCATCTGTGTATGATCGGTTTGTGACTCATCTGGGTATCAGTACTCGAAGTCAGTAGTTGTACATGATGCGAGATTAATAATCAATCAGAGTGTCAGTCGGTGATCCATCTGTTGCAGTCTCGTCGAAAAATTGAAGTATAATCCAGAACGAGTGAAGAAACTGGAAGTGCCTAACACGTCGCTCAGATACGAGAGACGAGCAACCGGCGCAAAGTGTTCGAAATCACCTCAAGGAAGTCGAGAAACCAGATGAAGCAGAATCTTTCTTCGTTCTTGAGTGAGTATCTGTCTGAGTGTTGCAACTGTTGTCCAGCAAAGAGATTTTCCTCCGCTTCGCCCCGCCCCAGAAAACGCCGAACTTCATACCCTGTACATTTAATTAAACTCGCCGTTACACACGACTCCTCATTTTCATAAGTCATCTCCCTTAGAGCTCGTCACTCGATCATCGATGATTTGATGCAATAAAGCTTAAAAACTCTATCCCTTCAGTGATGCGGTCTGTACATTGTTTTCCAAGCGGCAACTGCTGGACAGCATAAAGAGAACAGTGTCTCAAAAGTATGAATATCTTTGACCCTCCAACCAAAAATAATAGGGACGATCTTCGAAGTTCAAGTTACGAAGGATCTGATTCCGTAGGTGTAAAGCAAATAGACAGCACCGAGATATCTTCTGGCAGGACGGTATTCCCAGCGTAATTCACACTCATTGTGCTAGTTGTTCATCTTCTCGTTTTCTTTTCTCGTTGGTAAGGACTTATTTGGTTTGCATAACAAGCATAGCCAGGATGACAAGTCGGGGTGCACGGCCACCTCACATTGTCAAAGATGAGATTGCGGCGGCGACCGTGTTCCTGAGTAGAGCCGCGGAGGCGATTTGTACATTAATCTTTCTCTTTGTTATCCGTTTTTTATAACAATCTGATACAATGAAAATGAATACGATGTCGAATGACTGTACAATGAAGAAGATCATTCTTTGCAGAGAAACCATGTTCGTACTTGTTTCAATCCAATAATGTGGTCGGAAGATAATCTCTTCTCAAAATGTTTTCAGGGAAAAATAATAATATATCGACACTGTCGCTGCAAAGACTGAATGAAATATTCGACCCTCGAAAAGAATTCTTTCGGGCAACCGTCAAAAGCGCCGCCACTCGAGACCTCTGTAGGGCCACCTTGGACCAGCTAGCAAAAAAGGCCCACTCGATTGTAACCCTCGAGAACTTCAACAAAGCGCTCACGGAAGCCGCGGAGTACTCTTTGTGTTTCAAAAATCTTCATCCTTTTGCTTTTTGTTTTTCTTAGCTGCAGCAAACCTGAAAAACTTTTTTTCACCATCATGTTAGAAAAATGGAAAAGTAATACGAGATTAAGAAGATCAGCATAGGTAGATATGATAAAGGAGTCTATGCGTCATGGCATCAAAAACACCTCTCATCAGCATCAGCCGCACCAACAAGGCCGGGGCCGCGCCCAGCAGCAGCCTCCAGACCTATGCAGCGACGACGCCTGTGTCCACTTCTCGCGCGGCTCTGTCCACCATGCACTTCGAGGCCATGACCGTCATGCAGATTTCGACTATTGCGTTTGTTGCGGGCTTGGCTTTGGTTTGGTGCGTGCGCCGCCGCCACCGCGATCATCGTCGCCTGTCCGCAAATGATGCGCCGACTTTGCCGAAGTACGGGTCTACTGTGGATGACTGCACTAAGGAAGAATGCTAGATAAAGACTCCGACATCAAATACATAGTTGTATTGGAAACTTGAGCAAAAAGTATCTGAGTATACATAACAGTTTCTATATTTGATAGTAGTATTCTAGATACATACGGAGACGTAAACATAGTTTCGCTTTGTAGGTTTGTTACTAATGATTGAAAGGTCGTGCCGAGCCGAATGATCCAGAGCCAGATCTTCACTATTATCAAAGCCGTGGGCTATCGGCCTTCAACCTAGAACACTGACGAGTGGCATGAATTATAGTTACTACATCGATCATGAATGGGTCATGGAATGAAGTCTAGTCGTTCTGATCCGGAAAATCGCAGATAGTGTCCTTGACATGGATCATTCATTCTGGAAACAACCTCGAGAGTCATGGAAAAGGTGAAAACATGACGTCAGATTGAACTATTCACTATCATCATACTAAGTAGGTATTTAGATGATCACGATTATTGAAAATCTACTTTGTCACATAAAGTTAGTATTTATCAGGCACCTTCTAGTTCGGGAAGATCGTCTACTAGCGTGGCACTAGTAAAGTGCGGCTGAGGAGATTCACTTGCTTCGTTGATCTTCACGGCTACTCTATGTTTCTAGCCCATTTTATTCCATGTAGACAGAGGTAGAAGATGCCTGACAATACATACAAAATTCCGAGAAACAAAGTGAACAACATATGTATCTGTATCATGAACGCGCTACAGCATGTGTACCAAGTACGTACATTAGATGAAATAGAGAAAATTTCACCTCCACGACCGCATGAAATTCAAACACAAAAAATTTCTACTCTATTTGAGTAGGCTGTGAACAAGAACTGTTTGGGAAGTCTTGACAAGGCTTTTTCATTTGGAAATGCGATGGCTTGACTATGGATCTGCGAAGGTGAGTCCTCTGACAATGCAAACAAAATCAAAAAACGACAGTCGTCAGGAGAGTAGAGCAATTATTCACATGTTGAGTGGCGCATATAGACCTTCTAGCTTTCAGTTGAAAGTTTGTCTGTTGTCCCGCCAGTGGTGTCGAACAAGCCACCATCAGGACCATAGGGCGTTCGACAGCTTGTGTCGTGTCTGTCTCCCCTATTTATGCCGACATTTCCCATCCCCTCTCTATGCATGCTTTTCTACTTCATCTTCCAACTTAGGTTGGGCAAATTTGCAATTGAAATGTCAATTTCCTTACCAACAATTAGAAAATTCAGAATTCAATGCGGATTAGATACCACTATCCAAAAAAGCGAATATTTATCGCCCAAAAATTAAATTCGAGACAGCTACTTTTCTTTCTTGTCGAGCTATTTTCAGTTCGTTCGTTGTTGGCTTGCAGTGGTATGATCACTAACCATCTTCCGAATATGTAACCCTATTCCAATGTAACCCTATTCGTTGCGAATATCCCCAGGGCAGTCCCAGTCCACGATATTGAAGAGCTAAGTAGAATTTCGGGGTCTCGGGGCTAGTCTGGAGCCATATTTGTTGCGTGTGTGTAGGAATGTTTGTTACAACTTTGTCAGCGCGGGAAAGGCTTGATACTTAGAGATTTTCCTTAAAGTAGTATAGATCTTCTAGTTTTCAGTTGAAAGTTTGTCTGTTGTCCCGCCAGTGGTGACGAACAAGCCACCATCAGGGCCGTGGGGTGATGATGCGTTGTTCGACAGCTTGTGTCGTGTCTGTCCCGCCTATTCATGCCGACATTTCCCATCCCCTTCGTATGCATGCTTTTCTACTTCATCTTCCTCATAGAGTACCAGCGTGCTGTAGTACTGCTGCAGCACGTACCAGTAGCACACCAAGTGAGAAGACGAGTCTACAACTTAGGTTGGGCAAATTTGCAATTGAAATGTCAACTTCGTTACCAACAATTAGAAAATTCAGAATTCAATGCGGACTAGATACCACTATCCAAAAAAATGAATTTTTATCGCCCAAAAATTAAAT